AAAAAAATATTTTGATCCCAATACAAATTGTGAGGGTGTGAAATTATTTTGGCTTTTTATCTGCTAAATACTTATGTTTTTCAATGTAATAACATTGTGAAAAACAACATGTCTAAAAGGTAGGTATTTTGTTTTGATTGAAGTTTAATTGAAGGTTTTTAATGCATCATTAACCCAAATAAGTGTATCAAAATCACAACGGGCTTTCATCATCCATTATCATTTGGCGGGTTTTCATTCATGGCTTAAATGATTTTTTTAGTTTGTAATTAATATCATATTTGTAACATTAAATTATATGAAAAAATATGCTCCTACAAAAAAAAAAATGAAAAAAAAAACGACACAATATAACAAAATTGATCTTCAGATTGAAAAAATAAGGATAACATATATTTTTTTTACTTCGAGCTATTCTATAAGAAAAGCTGGACCAATATTGTTAAATTTTTATACCCTACACCACAAGGTGGTCAGGGTATTTTTTCTTTGTGCATTTGTGTGTAACAGGAAAAAGAAAACGAGATAGACCCATAGTTCCTTTTGATGATCTCCATGGATCACATCACATTCTGAGTCGATTTATGCATGTCCGTCCGTCCGTCTGTCCATGTATTTTTGTAAAGAAAGTACAGTTCGCATTTATTGCCCTATCCAGATGAAATTTTGCATAAATCATTTGTTTGGCCCAAGGACGAACCCTATTGAAATTGGAGATAATCGGTCAAAATTTAGATATAGCTCCCATATATATCTTCGTCGGATTTGCCTTTTATTGGCCACCAAACGTGTAATATCAGCCCGAATAGTATGGAATTTTTCATATACAACCAAATTAGGCCTGAAAATAAGTATGCCAAATTTGATCGAAATCGGTTCAGATATAGCTATAGCTCCCGTATATATTGTTCATCCGATTTGTTATGTTTGTCCTCCGCAGCAGTTATATGCACCCTGTAACAACAATATTTGGGAAAGTCTATCATATACAGCTCAGAAATACGTTTGCTAAATTTTATCGAGATCGGTTCCGTTTTCGTTATAGCTCCCATATATAACTTCGTCCGATTTACCTTTGATTGTACACCAAACGTCTAATATTTGTCCAAATGGGATGGAATTTGGCACTTACGACCGAATTGAGTCTAGAAGCTAGTATGTCAAATTTGGTGAAGATCGGTTCAGATACAGCTATAGCTCTCATATATACTGTTCATCCGATTTGTTATATTTGTTAACAACAATATTCAGTGAAATATTTCAAATATAGCTCAGAAATATATTTGCTAAATTTTATCGAGATCGGTTCAGATTTGGATATAGCTCCCATATATATCTTTATCCGATTTCAAATTAATTGAGCACCAAATGGGCAATACAAGTCCGAATTTAAAAGATACAAATGCTTTGGCATATTTAGTCCCTTTTAACTTTAAACTATAATTATAATCATAGCATGTATGATTGAATTCTCCCATAAAAACTTTTAATTGTTATGAGGAGCTCTACTAAATTATTAAAGTGATGAAGGGTATCATAAAGTCGGCACCCGCCCTACTTTAAGACTTTCTTTACTGGTTCTTAATAGCGTTTCCACATAAAACGAACACAAATTGCCAGAATGTGGCGATATTAAATGGAAAACTTGATCAAAACTTGAAATGGAAATTGTTCTTACATGGTGGCTTTACCGAAAAAGTGGGCCGAAAATGGGTCATTTCTTTACCAATGATTCTGAGTGTAATCCAAAGATATCTGCGGTAATTCTGTGGTCCGTCCGTTGATCTTTTATTAAGATTTTGATGATTTTTCAAACTGTTGACACTTGTTGAGGGACGTTCCAAAGGAGTGGGCCAATGTTTTTTTTATTTCGTGTCTTACCTAAGTCCGATATAAATATTACAATGTACAAAAAATTTTGGGTATGTCGTCTATTTCCTTCATTTCATGTGAGATATGTGATAAGATTCCCAAAATGCTGGAAAGTGTATCAATTTTGTGCGAATAATTGTTAATCAACATTTTCGCTTTTTATGGGGGAGGCACCAGAAGGAGTGAGTCGGTAAATTCGCTATTCTCATCAGATCTCTGGTTGTAAAAAATATTTAGATAAACTAAGTTTGGATATAATCCCTGACTTCTTTCGCATGTTATGAGAGATATAATTATTCAAAATGTTGACGCTTTATGGAAAGGATACCAGAAGAAATGAAGCGATTTATTTCATCTTCACACCAAGTGGCGAATTTGATGGTCATTTAAAATGTTAACCCAGAAGAAGTAGTTATATATATTCCATTTTTACAACAGACCCCCCCCCCCCCCCCCTTTGTGGAGGAGGGTACCAGAAGGAGTAAACCGGTATCTGTGAATTTCATAACAGATATTGTGTTGATAAAAAAATATGAGATGTGCAGAGTTTGAATGGAATCGGATGCTCATTTCGCCCTTTAAGACTTTTTTCTTTTTCCAAATTGTGACCCGGAGGTACTTGACGGAATGGACCGATATTGTTCATTTTTGAAAAGCACGGACAAAATAATTGGGGTTAGCAAAGTTTGCTCAAAATTGGGCGATACTTTCTCTTTCTATGAGATAAATTATTTTCTTAAAAAAATTTTGAACCTCAAGGTTCAAAATAATGCCCATCTCCAAACTCGATCTAAGTTTGACAATGATATTACTTAGTACCAAGTTTGGATCAAATCGGATGATTCCTTTGAGAGATAGCGTGGGCACAAGCCAGACCGACATAGTCAGACGGATGGACCACACTCCTAGATGGACTCCAATAAGGCACGTTTTGGCCCTATCAAATTATATATTCCCTTCCGTAGCCATATGGCTAAGGGTATAAAAATACGAAAAATTCCATTAAACCGAGAATATTTTTAATTCCAGTGAAATCAGAAATACACGAAAAGGTCAATTCTGATATATCACATATATGGCAAAATATATACAATATTATATATCAAAGGAGCGAAAGTTAGTTCGACCGCTTATAACTCAAGAACAGCTGGAGGGATTTCATCAATTCAGAATGAACTTTTGGCAGAAAAGAATAAAATCTAAAAGAATACATATAAAGATGCAAAAAAATTAGAACAGTTTTCTGTACTATTTTGTGATTTTTTTATTTATTGTAAAATTTTTATCGCATGAGATTTTTCAATTTGACTTACAATATTAAATTGTATATTTTGAACATTTTTATTCACCTTCCAACACCATGTATTTGTATATTAAATTCAAGTCACAAGTTAATTAATTATAATTCTATATTCCCGCTTTTTCAAAAAAATGAACCAACTAATAAAGATTGTCGAATTTATATTTTTATAAAAATATATATAAATCAATTTTTTTTTTTTTGCCTTTTAACTGAAATACTTAACATAAAGTTCTTCCAATATCTACCGAATTCTTTTCAAACATTTTAAATTTTCAAAATTGATAACTTTTATTTGTAAATTAACAAAATATTCCATTCAATTAAATTTCAAGCTTTGAAATTAATTTCCCTCCAAAAACCCACAATTTTATTTAAAGACTCTTAATTAAAAATAGCAATCTCAATTGACAGCTTATTTAAGTGTTGCTGTTTATTCCACACAAAAAAAAGAAGAAAAACAACGTAAACGTACTACCTACAGCAAAAAAAAAAAAAAAATCAACTGTAACAAGCCCATTTTCAATATTGAGATTTTAAAATAAAATCATCACGTTGTTGTGTTCTCTTGTTGTTGTTGACATCCATGGCAAAAATACAACAATAGCAACAACAAAAACCATGCAACTACGAAAGCGTTGATTATTTTGACTGACACATTCATAGGTCTGTCTCCTCTATGCATAATCATTTTTATTTTTTTTCTCAGCCAGCCAGTGAAACAGAATACAGGCAAACACACACAATACACCACACACCTTTGTATATTAACTCACTCACTCCTTTGAATCATGACAACGAACCCCACCTTAACACAGAGAATTAAATGTGTGTGTGCGCCAATGTGTGTTTGAGAAAAATATAAAAACAAACAACAACGGGCTATGCAGTCTCTGAGAAAATTTACTTAGCCGAGAGTAACACATTGTATATGGAGCATAACCAGCAGTAACAACAACAAAAACTACACTACTAATGAATCAATGATGATTACAAAAACAAATGATGAACTCACACATAACCATGCTCTGCTTGCGCTTACGCTCTGACAATTGTAACAATAACATTATTTGCTTAATAAGAAAATCCAGGCAGAGTCGTAACAAATCCCCAGAGACTTGAGCAACTAATATATTGTGAGATAGAGTGAGAGAGCCAGATGGTGGAAAAGAACAGAGAGTGAACAAGGGCATAAGGCAATTTTCTGAGGCTCTTGATGTAACAAGAGCTTTGGTAAATAATTGAGTTGTTGGCTGGCTAAACGAAGTGGACAACAACGACGGCGACGACTACGCCGACCATATATGCCCTGGACAATTGGGGAGAAGAAGAGAACAGTAATAACAACAACAAATACTATAATAACTCTGGCCCTGTTGGTTGAACAACAAATAGGGGAATGTTAGGTTGAGAGTCATGTTGTCTCTTTCGAGATTGAAGGGAAGAGTTTATTGTCAATGAGTTGAAAGAGAACAGCATTTGTTTCAAATGATATAAACTCCTCCCTTTAAGTGTTATGCTGTCTCTTTCTCTCTCATTGTATTATAGGGGAACAAATGAAATGGAGCATTGAATTAATGCTTTAATTTGGGGTTGGTGTCTGCCGTTTATTGGGGATTCTTTTCTCTTAAGAGAAATGTCAGTTGTCTTTTTTAATAAAGTCATAAAGTTTGCTAACAAGCCCATACGTTTTCTTGTTGTTGCTCCTTTTTTTTTGCAAGGAACCAACAACACTTCTTGTTGTTTTTCTTGGCAGAGTTTTGACCATGTAATGACTGGAAGTGGTTGTTTCCCAGCTACGAGTACTTGCGCCAACTGCAGCTCTTGTAAGTCGGAAAGCGTTAAAATGGGAAAAAAGAAGAACTAAATTGCTACAATTTTCCAGCCAACGTCGTTATTTGAGCTGCTAAACAGAAACATTGGCCAAACGTCTGTCAGATTGCAGGTGACATCTGTAAGTGTCACACACAGAAATTTAGGCGAGCGCTTCAAGTATATAGTTACGGTCTTAAAAAGCGTTACAAAAAAATTCAACGGTATTTTTTGGAACTTTAGAAATAAAAGGAAGAGAAAAAAAAACAAAATAAGAAAAAATTGTGTTTTTCTTGTGGCCGACATCATCATCCACATCTCATCATCGTTTTGCGAACTTCACAAGTCAATCAAAAGACAAATCTCAATTGAGCTCTGTCGGGCGTACATACACACATCTCTGGTCTCTTTCTCACGCTCACTCTCCAACATGGCCAGCCTCCTTGTCTAGCCTACGGACCAGCCATTCATTGGTGTGAGAGCTCAAGAGACTTTTAGGGGAGTGAGTGAATGAGTGCGTACTGGGAACTGTTTCTAGCTCTGGATGTCTACGTGTGTGTGAGTGTTGTGTGTTTGCTTTGCTGCTTCAGTTGGTAAAGACGTTAAGCAACAGTGATTAGTTAATTTACTCGTTGACTTCAACGTGAACGGACGTGTCAAAGAGAGTGCGACAAAACGAAAGAATAACATACAACGGTATTATAGAAAAAATACAAAAATAATAACAACCAAGAAAATTTACGCCAAGTGGATTAACAGAAAAAAATAATAACAAGAATATTAAAAGCAAGCAATTGTAGCAAGTGTTTAGTGTTGAAAAAATTGAGAAAAATAAATTTAAATGTTTGTTAAAATTTAGCAAAGCCACCAAAACAGTGGAAAATATTTGAATTTCCCAAAGAGAAAGAAAAACAAAAAAATAATTCCTCAAAAAACCCCCCTACAACTTTGTGTTATCCCCACCACAAATGGCCTTAGAGGATCGTTGTAGTCCCCAATCAGCACCATCGCCTCCAGGTCTACCTCAATCGCCACAAGCCAATCAAGCGTCGTCTCCCCAACAGTCCACGCCACCAGCAGCCAGCTATTACAATCCGGCTATTTTGGATATGAGTTTATCACAAACCAGTCTTGTTGTTGATCCTGCTACCGCCACAGTTGCCGCTGCCGCCGCCATGTTACCGCACACCGTTGCCTCCCTGTATCAGCAACAACAATTGCAACATTTGCAACAATTACATCATTTACAACAATTACATCAACAACAATTGGCCGCCGGGGTGTTTCAACATCCCTATGGTCATGACATGACGAGTGGAGCCCAGGCTCGTCTGAGTGTTTCGCCCGGAGCCCATTCGACCACATCTTCCACACCAGCCTCCTCGTTGACCATCAAGGAAGAGGAGAGTGAATCAATAATGGGTGATAGCTTCTCGGCGGAACATGAACAATCCTCGTCGTTTCAACATCAAAATGTCACCGAAGATGAGGATGAAGAATGTGACATTGATGTGGATGTCGATGAGACGGAGGATGAGGACAAGTCACGCATACCACCACCAGCCCATCAGCAGTCCAGCAAACCCACCTTGGCCTTTAGCATTTCCAATATTCTGAGTGATCGTTTTGGTGGTGTGGAACAGCACAAGGATGAAACTCCCACGGCAAGACAGACACAATTTCCTCCCACACATCAACAGGGATCGAGTATCTACCGGCCATTTGATCAATCGAGAGCAGCCACAGCCACTCCTTCGGCATTTACCCGTGTGGATCTGTTGGAGCTGAGTCGCCAACAACAGGCCGCTGCTGCAGCTGCCACGGCAGCCATGATGATTGAAAGAGCCAACATCTTAAATTGTTTTAATCCTGCTGCCTATCCCCGAATCCATGAGGAAATTTTACAAAGTCGTATGCGCCGGACAGCGGGCCACTTAATGCCAGGTGGCCATAAAATGATGACAGATCCCTCTCTCACCTCACCACCACCACCACCCTCAGGCCAATCAGCCTTGGGTTCCTTATGTAAGACAGTCTCACAAATTGGACAGGCGACACCAACCACGACATCCACAAATGGTTCCAATAATTTGCTACTATCCACACCACCTGCCTCCTCAACACCATCTGGATCCTCGGTGGCCAGTATGGCTTCACCGCCACCCTCATTGCCAAATACCTCGATTTCAAGTTCATCATCATCATCATCCTGCCCATCCTCGTCATCCTCGTCATCATCTTCAGCCTCATCATCGTCGGGAAATTCATCACAAAATTCCTCACCCACCAGCCGTAAAAATCAAAGTCCCCAACCCATCCCGCCACCGTCGGCAATTAGCCGTGACTCGGGCATGGAAAGTTCGGATGATACAAAATCGGAAACGGGCTCCACAACAAATTCGGAAACTGGTAAAAATGAAATGTGGCCAGCCTGGGTATTTTGTACACGTTACAGTGATCGTCCCAGTTCTGGTGAGTAAAAGAAAAAGAAATGAATAAATTTTGAATTGAAAATTTGCAAAAATTAGGAAAGGGGGAGACAAAAAGGAGTGATAGGTTTTAAGGTAAAAAGTAATGTTTAAAATTATTTGCTTTGGAAAAATTTGTAAGAGAGCAGAAAATTTGAAGAGAGAGGACCTTTCAAAATTAAAAAAATTGATTTAAAAATTTGAGGAGAGACTGGGGGCTAGGGAGAAAGATGAAATAATTGATTTTAAGGTAAAAATTTATGTTTGAAATGTTTAGCTCTAAAAATTCGGGTAGAGCAGAATATTTAAAGAAAGAGGACCTTTCGAAGTTTTGGGATCTTCTTTGATTTAACAGAAAATCTCATTTTTTTAATTAATTTTAATTTTAGAAAAATTATACATTTATTAGATTCCAAAAAAAAAAAATTCTTATCGAATTTTGAAAATTTTTTCAATAGTGTCTGAAAGGAATTTTTACATATTTCGTTCATATTAAAAAAACAAATTCAATAATTTTGATTTCATTCTCTGCTTAGTGGAACATATTTCCTTAAAAGTTTTAAATTTTCCATTCATTAAATTTCAAATTATTATTTTTCCTTATTGAACTTTAAAGCAATTCATGATTGGCAAAGTTTTTAATATCGTTGGATTTTCCGATGAATTTTTCTTAAATATTTGGTAGAAAATTCGATTATCCGTTCTTTGTATTCTGAAAAAATTTTCATTTCTCCAATAAATAATTTTCAATGTTTTAAAATAAATAATATCCGTCAAAAGAAATCAAGATTCTTAAAACCGTGAAATTTCTTATTCTCACTGAAATAAAATTTATTAAAACTTAAAAAGAAAATGTTAACATTTTTAAGAAAATGATTCTTGATATTTTTATTTTTTTTTTTATTTAATTTAAAAAAAAAAATGTTCAGAAAAATGTCCCTGAGGAATATTCCTCTTGAAAAAAATCGCCATCTTTTTCTCCCTTCATTTTATTTCAAAATGTATTTTTATTTTCTTCTTATCAAATTTCAAAACTCTAATTGTTTGTCAAAATTTTCAATATCCTTGGCGGCATTTCTGCTTTCTTCCCCTCATATTTTTTCTTTGATGTTAGGATAAAATGTCAGTGGACTTGAAGGTCATCTCCATGGACATAAGACTTAAATTACACCATATTTTTTTCGTCTTCTATATTCTTATTGTCCAAGATGACCTTTATTGTGACAAAACAAAAAAAATTGAAAAGAGCGGCAAAATCCTGTAAAGATAAATGTCCTGCTGTGACCACACAACGGTAACATGACATCCATGGTGTAAATGTTTGGCCGGCATTAAATGTTTGATGTTATCCCGGGACACACACATGCATTATTCACTGGTCTGTCTCTCTCTCCCTCAGCCAGATGACATTCATGGCCTGTTATCAGCTTGACAAAATATTGAAATCGAGTCTCCCCTCCCCTAGCCAGCAACGGCAGCATCATACAACAAAAACTACTTTAACGCATGGAGATTTGTTGAATGATGCTGCCTGGGAAACAGCAGCATCAGCAGTCAGTTGTCGAATCATTAAGATTTGTGTAAGATTGTCTAGTTTTGGGTTTTGTTGTTTTTTTCTCTTGAGAGCAAGTGCTGAGCGATAAAGAAAACAGAAAAGAGGGGGAGCCGCAAGACAATTTACCATTGCGACACGTGCTTCTAAAGGATTTGTAATGGAATAAAAAAAGGGTTTCTTTTATCACTTGTCAGAAATGTGGGGATCAAGAGCGAAGGGGAGAGTAAGTGAGAGGGAAAATGGGGGAGAAATTATTTTTAAGTGATTTTTTATTATTTTAAATGGATTTTTAATAGACAACCAATGACAGATTTATGTGGATTTTGGCTGGAAAAAGGAAAAAGTAAACAAAAAAATCATGTTTTTGATTTATGTTGATTTTGAAATATTCTATTTAGATTTCAATTTTAGTGGTTTTTAATTGTTGTGAAAATGGAATTCAATATTTTCTTTTTATTTTAAAAATCAGTGTTTTTCCTTTAGATGTGTGAGAATTTAATACTTCAATTTGAATGGTTTTTAAATGCTGTGAAAATGGAATTTAACATTTCTTATTTTAAAAATCAGTGGTTTCCCTTTAAAAGTATGAATATTTCGGAAAATTTCAATATATTTTTTTTTTAACTTTAATTGATAAAGAAAAAATTTCCTCAAAGGGGAAATTTTTGTGTTCAAGAATTTTTCAATTTTTTTTTTTTTCATTTTGGGACTTATTGGAGTTAGAAACATCATTTTGGGCGAAATTTCAAAAATTTCCCTTTTTGGGAAATTTTTGTTTTTAATGAATATTTTTGGATATATTTAAATATCTCAGCATTTTTGATTTTAATGCTTAAATTAAAAATTTCCCCTGAATGCCGTCTTCAAAATTCCGTGGCGTTTAGTCTATAATTGTGACCTGTAGAGGGGAAGAGATTTAATAATTAAGAATTTTCTGATTTTTTGAGCTTCCCCTTAGACACCTGGTCTTTATTTCTTAAAAAATCGCCCCACCCTCCTCTCAAATGTAACCTTGCCATTTTCCAATAAAAAAAATTCATTTCAAATAATATTGCAAACAAAAAAGCTATTTCATGACAGCTGTCATCATTTATTGACTCTGTGAATGGCGTCGGCATTGTTTAGAAGTCAAACGTTTTTCTTCATCATTTTTTTAATTCTCCTACTCCACCTCCTCCTTCTTCTTTGTCTTCTCCTTTTTTTGCATAGACATTTGTTAATAAAATAATCATTATTAGATTCGTATTATGCAAGTTAATGACAAATTTCCAATTAATATTCAGAGGATAGCCTTTCAAGTCTCCCACTCAGTTTTTTTTTGTGGAATTGCGTTTATGACAGCTTTGTTTTTTTTTTGCAAAGGAATTTCATGATTTATTGATATCATTATAAGTGTCTTTGAATATTATTTTTTATTAATTTTTTTTTTTGCGTTTTCATTTTAGGTCCCCGTTATCGTCGCCCCAAACAACCCAAAGACCCCAAGGCGACCGATGAAAAACGGCCAAGGACTGCATTCTCCGGCGAACAATTGGTGCGACTAAAAGTAAGTATTTTTGAAAATCCATGGTTTTTTTCTCAAAATAAAAATTAATAAGGAACAAAACTGGAATTTTTTTTAACAATAAATTCTAGAGAGTTCTAAAATGAAGGCAAGGAAAAATTGAATTTTTTTTTTTAATTTTTAATTTAAAGATGGAATTAAAGAAATTAAATTTAAATTAGTATCTTCAAGCTCGATTATTTTTATTATTTTATTATTTTTATCTCCATCCAAAAAGGACGAAAAAATTAAAAAAAAATATTTTAGAAATAAACATTTTTTAAAATTAATTTTAAAAATTCAAATAATATTAAAAATAATATTAAAATCAAGAAAAATTAAAAATACTAAATTAAAAATACTAAAATTAGTATCCCAAGCTTTCATATATTTCCTGAATTTATAAAAATAAATAAGAAATTTATTTCAAAATTAAAATATTTTAAGACATAAATTTGCCTTAATGAAATAGCATTGCTGGCAAGCCTGGTGTTAATTGGCCAGAGTTTTTGTTTTATTTTTCCCAAAAAATTCATCCCTCAGGGCCATGGCAAAGTCATGGCTCATTTAAAACATAAAGAAGGTCTGGAGCAAAAAAATAGACAAGCAAGTCATTAAGAACCTACTAGGTTTCCATATGCTGCACTAATAAGCAAGGACATTTCAGAACAATACAAGCAAACTATTCCTCTCGCTCTATGTGTGTGTGTATTTTGACTACTCATAACGAATTGAAAATTTATGAGTGTTTCCAATTTTTTTTTGTTTGTTACCTTTTTTGTTCCACTCAAAATATTTACATCACCACCCAGTGAGCGCCCAAGCATGCAACCAGTTTTTGTTCTTTGTTCCGATACGATATCCTGCCAACAAATTTTCTTTTACAAAAAAACCACAACTAAACGCCTTGAGTTTGAAAAACCTTAAGAAAAATCTAAAGGAGCAATTAGTTGTGGTCTGGACTTTTAAACCACCGTAAATAATTGATTTACTAATGTTTTTTCTCTCTCTCTCTCTCTCTTTCCTTTTCTTTGCAGCGTGAATTCAATGAAAATCGCTATCTAACCGAAAGGAGACGCCAACAATTAAGTGCTGAATTGGGTTTAAATGAGGCCCAAATTAAAATCTGGTTCCAAAATAAACGCGCCAAAATCAAGAAGTCCACCGGCACCAAAAATCCCCTGGCCCTGCAATTGATGGCCCAGGGTTTGTATAATCACACCACAGTGCCGCTGACCAAAGAGGAGGAAGAACTGGAAATGAGAATGAATGGACAGATTCCATAGATTTCCATAACACCCAAAAAAAAAAAAAAAAAAAAATACAAAAAAATAAAACCAGATTAGTGCAATACCCTGAAAGTGTAAATAGTGGTTGAGAAAAGAGAATCAAAGCCCAAGAACAAATTACAAAAAAAAAAAAAAAAAAAATGTAAATTATTTGTCTCGTTTTAATTTTAAATAGCAAGTTTTAATTATTGTGATATAGTTATTGTAAACTCCCAAACTAAATCCTTTATGCTTTTGTAAATTTCAACAAATTTCTTAAAACAAAAAATCTCAGCTTACTCGCCTTCCTAAAAAAAACTGTAAATTTTATTTAAAATTTCCATAATCTTTAATTTATTAACAACAATCAACAAGATCTATGGAAATTTAATGGTTTTGTACAAAATACAAAAACAAAAAAATAATAATAATAATAAAGAGCATCTGATATTTGAATGGCAGACATCAAATTAAAAGAAGAAGGCAAAAAAACTTAACAAAAAAAAATCCAACCATTCTGAAAACTCTATCTCTCACACAAAACAAGTATTATTTTTTCTTCAAATTTAAACAAATTTTATGTATATTTAATTTGTAAGCTATTATAACAAAGAAAAATATTAATGCTATAACAACAACAACACCCTACAAATCTATATTTATGGCATAAAAACTTTATTAATTAAAATAACAAAAAAATTCAATGTTATTTTTTTTTTTTTGCTTTGTAAAGTTGATCTTCACACATGACTTCTTCATCAAATGTATATATATAACTATTTTCTCCGCGTATTGTATAAATCTCAATTTAAATTATTATTTATTTGTATTATAGATATTTTTGTGTGTATTAGTATTTTAATTTATATATAGTTGTACTTAAGTTAAATATTTTAATTATTGTAAGTTTTATGTTTGTTATTATTTTAAGTTCTTAGCGTATAGTCGAAATTGAAAAAGAATGAAAAACAACAAAAATTATGAGAAAAAAATAAAAAATAATAAAACAAAAATATTTAAATACCAAATATTATGAAAAAAACTCAACCAGACTTTTTATTAAAAATAATGGGAAATTTTTGGAAATTATTGAAGATAAAGGAATTTCGAATTGAAATCCAAAATGAGATTGATTGAAAAAAAAAAAAATAAAACTTTTCTACGACGGGTAGAAAGCTTTCAATATTGGTTAATAACAGATGTTGCAACAACAGTTTTTGCGCGGTCAGGTGTATGTAATTCGACTTCTCAAACAAATCAATTGAATTTTCAATAATTACATTTGTTTAATTCAATATTTTTCGATGGAAAGTTTTTCTAATCCAGAGCACACTTCAAAAATCTCTTACAGTGGTCAATATTTTTAAAATTTCTGGTTTGAGTGACATCAATATTTTTATACCTTACAACACTACGTGTTGGGGGTATTATAAGTTTGATTGGACCAACAAGTATGCAACACCTTGAAATATTCATCCCCGGCATAGGAAACTATATATGGATCTTCCTATCTCGCTGAGCTGAGTCGATCTGGCTATGTATGTCCGTCCGTCTGTCCGTCTTTCTATCTGTCCATGTTAAGTTGTAATCACTCTACAAATGATGTCAATTCAGAATGCCCTCTTGCCATAAAAGTACAAAATCTAAAAAAAAACATAAAAAGATGCCAATTATGATGTTAACATAGATTTTGTGGTATTTTGTGACATTTTTTTAATTTTTTAATATTTTTCTATTGCATGCCATTTTTCAATTTGACTTATAATATTGAAGTGTATATTTTTGTAATATTTTCTCACCTTACAACACAGGTTCGGGTTATTATATACAGATTGCACAATTATCGTCCGATCCTCACGAAAACTTTCACAAGGGTAGGGTTAGGCCTATTGTTTTCAAACATGTCCGCAATATATTTAGGGGTTGAAATGGACCAACAACTAAAAATTTTCCTGATTTTGCAACCTTTATAAAGGTCACAAATAGAAACCAAAGGACACGAAATCTCGCATGAAGTTAGAGTTTTGGACATCGGGTAGAATGAACCACTACTTTTGTGTGAAAAAATACCAAAATTTCCATTCCACCGAAACACTGAAAATAACTTACAGGCAATATCCATAATACACAAAAAAAAAAAAAACTTCTGGCTTTTTATGCTGATTTCGTTGACGAATATAGCCAAATATCGTAGACAAACAAATCATATAGATGAGTCTAAATTTAGAGATACAGAGGCGCCTCTTGCTTTTGGAGATCGCAAAATATTTATGGGTTCAAATGAACTAAAAACAGCAAAAATTTCCTGATCACACCATTGAAGCCAATCGACACGCCTGAGAAGAGAGTTAAGGGGAGGGAAGAATTCTAGCACGACTATAGCCTTTGCTTACTTGTTATCAATACAAAATATACAATATTATTGAGGGGGAATTAACCATTTTTGAAGGCAAAGAAAGAGTAGCAATTTGAAGGCCAATTTTTTTGTGAAAAAGTTTGAAACAATATAAATTTGCTATCATAAATGATAGCAAACCTTCAAAACTCTTTATATACTAAATTCATCAAATCGAGATTAGCCGCCACTTGGCTGTTATCCAAATCGTGATTTTTTCTACTCCTAAAGGTAAATATACTTTTAACTGTCAAATCAGATAATAACGCGAATAATTTTTTTAAATTAATATATTAGATGCTTAGCAATGTACAGTGGCTCCACTTACAGGGGAAGGTGTGACGATAATACTCCTTAATCAGATATCCAATGTGTTCTTGTGGCTACAATATCTGATTTCTACATGAATGTTTCCATTTTAAAGTCCTTTATGGAACAGTTTTCTAATCGCATTTTCCGACGGATTTTGCATTAACTATAACGCTGTGTTTCGCTTTCTATATATATGGAAAACTTCCTAGCGGAATTCATTTGTATGCACGTGAATAAAACTAAATTTATTTATTTTTTATATTTTTCAAAAGGTTTTTGTTTCAGAGTCGAGACAAAAGCAAGATAGCTTGACTCCTAAGCCATAGTAAACCATGACTACAGAAGGTATATATCATTTGATACGGCCAAAACGTGTCTCATCGATGTCTCTTTAGACCAAATTCGTTTCAGGACATTTGGAATCGATCTAGTGGTGCCCGTCCGTCTGCCCCTATGGCTGGTGCGCACGATAAATTTTGAAGGGAGTGTCCGATTTAGTCCTTACTTGGTACATCGTAATATTATTATCAAACTATGATCGAGTTCGCAGATGGGTAATATCGGACACTACCTCCCCCACAGAAAGTCAAAATTTTCAAAGAAAATAATTTACATCATAGAAAGAGAAAGGATTACCCAATTTTGTCCAATCTTTGCAAATCCTAATATTTTTGTCAGTGCTACATTTGGAGCGGTTAAATTGGCCCTAATCTTTCTAGTACCTTCTCACAAAGAGTCAACATTTTGAATAATCTTATAAAATGTGAAATAATAGTCCGATGGTCTTCGAATTACACGCATCACGATATATTTAGCAATCCAAGGTCTGGTGTGAGATGGAATATATCGGCCCACCCCTTCTGTTATCTCTCCCACAAAAGGTGAAAATTAACATCCGATTCCATTTGGACTTATTCATCTCAACATTTCCATCCATGCAATATCTGTTATATAGATGATAGAGATCGGACCATGGTGCCTCTCCCACAAAGGATCACAGTTTTCACAGATCTGATGTGTATATGGAATATAATGGTTCACACCTTCTGGTACCTACCCCACAAAGAGCCAACATTTTGAACATCCATGAAACTCATAAAAAGCGAAACTAAGATTTGATTCCATTCAGATTTGGTATGTCTCAATATTTCCATCAACATAAGTCATAAACATGGTAGAAATCGAACTATTTCTTCTGGTACCTCTCCACAAAGGGTTCAAGATTGAAAGCGAAATAAGCATCCAACTCTCTTTAAATTTCACACATACAAACTTTTTTGCTAACACAAGATCTATTGTGAAGATGATATATATCTGCGAACCCCTTCTGGTACCTCACCCAACAAAGGGTAACAACTTGCTATATCTAGATATTTTTTATCAACCAGAAACCTGAAATGAATATGGAATTTGTTATTTCGCATAAAATGGGATAGAAATGTTCGATTTTCTTGTAGTTTTGCCAATACCAATATTTTTATCTGCGTTTTATCCATCGACTATATCTGGTACCTTACGCACATTTTAACATCATCAAAAAATTGTCACACATTTCATACAAAGTGAAGGTATTAACCAATATAGTCCAAACCTGGCACGTGGCAATATTTATATCATATTTGTTTAGGACCGATACTAAATGGACAGTATTGGCCCATTCCTTCGAAACCTACTAGAGGGCCAACAATTTGAATAATCATAGCAGAAGTCAACATATATTTAAACGATCAAACATTGTCTGAGGGTATACATCTGTTGGCAAATCCGACTGATACTATTTAAATTCTTTTTTATGGAATGTTGATATGACTTGGTTCCTTTCATTTAAAATTGACTGAATTCCTATAAAAGTTTTAATACACAAAATTCATTAAATCGAAAGTTGCCGTCACTTGGAAGGCTGTCTCAAAACATTACATTTTCTACTCCTAATGATTAAAAGTGGTTAAAACTTTTGAAATTGTAATTTGAAGCCTCGCATCCAATACGTATGGAAAACTTCCTTTCTATTAAAATTACACCTTTCAGCCTTATAATTATATTGAAGTAATACATCCAGAGCCATGTCGTAGATTTTGTCCATTTATCTAAAAATTAAGCACGTTACACTTACACTTACAAAATGGTCATGTAAGACGAAAGCATAACAAGTGGAGAAAGATGAAAATGTTTATAAGTGCGGTTGTAAGATTTAGAAGATTTTCCAAAAGAATTTTAGTTTTATGCAATTCTTTGGTTTCTCTTCTATTGAGCATATGATCTCGTCACTTGGGTAAATAAGTTGTTTGTCATAGAAGTTTTTTTTTTTTAAATAACTTCTGGGGAGAATACCCAGACAAATAACAAGGGAACTGATGAGGATTGGTGGCTCTTTCCGAAGCCTAGGTATTCCCTGCCTTACCCCCTGGTAAACATTACCATCGTTCTCCACTAATAAAATAAAAATAAAAAACGATGTTTTTATAGAAACAACAATAATTGGATTAAGCCTGACCATTTTGCAACAATAAAAAGATTTTCTTTATGATAGACTATTGCTGAAGAACAGTAGTGACCTGTGACCTCTGTCCCTCCCCTACTCTTCTGGGAAGTCTAGTAGGCGTGGTATTGAATTAATAACCTTTGGAAAATCTGGAGGTAAAAGATTTTATATTCCTGACAGCCAAATGGACTTCAATTCGGAAGTCCTTGAATTCGCTGATTTTCGACACGTCCTTT